TTCATTATCCCCACATTCTAGTGTTCACATCCCTCCTACAATTTATCATATTTAGATTTGGTCCATGTGGCTACTAGAATATGGTGGAAGGAATGGTATTACTTCTGATATTAGGTTCTAAAAAGACTCCAGAATCCATCTGATCCGTCTTGGGTTCACACACTCTCTCTTGTTTTTTTTTCTCTCTCTCTCTCTTCCTCTTTCACTCTCTTGCATTTCTCACTCTGGAGAAAGCAAGCTGTCATCTTGTGAGCAGCCCAGAGGAGAGGCCCTGAAGCTTTTTATCAATAGCCAACCTTTATTTGACCTTTTCAAACTAGTGTGCCAATTATTGCTTTTATTGGGAGTGACAGGCTATTTTTCTCTTCCCTATTTGTGCTGAAAATAATTAATTTTTTTACTAATTAATTTTCTATCAATGGTAGAAATGATCCTTAGCAACAACCAAGGGAGTGTGTTTGGAAGTGAATTCTCCCAATGACCCTTGAGTTGACAAATCTGAGAGCTTGACTACTATACGACCTCAGAAGAGACCCTGAGGTAGGACCACTCAGCTAAGTGATTTCTGGGTTTCTAGACCTCAGAAACCATGTGGAATGATAAATGTTTGTTATTTTAAGGTGTTACATTTTGAAGGAATTTGTGACACAGCAGCTCCAAACACTATGTCCTCATAGGACAGCACCTCAGCCTTGAAGAAAGTGGGCTGGGCAGGCAGGGCTCTCCTTAGGTACTTTTCCTTTTTATTATGGAGGAAAATCTTTCTTAGAAGCCACCCAGCAGACAACCCTTACTTCTCACCGGCTGTACTGTGTGTCTTGATCACCTCTAGCTGCAAGGGAGGCTGAGAAATCAAGTACTGGATCTTTCAGTTGCTTCATAAGGAAGCGGGCGAGCAGCAGGAGGCTGAGGGAGGGCTGCTGTGCAGCAACAACAGCCTCTCCCAGCCCTTCCCAGTTTAATCTGTCTGGTTTTCTTCACTTGGAATCATTTAACTTGTTCCTTCATACTCTGTATTCACTGAAAACTAGAGTTAGATTCAGATTAAACATAATTGGCAAAATTACTCATGGATGATGCTGTGACTTTCATACTCTCATGTCAAGAAATAACCAAGTTCTTCATTAAATAGACATTTTATAAGATCTAAGCAGAGAGTGGTGCACCACTGATAGAGGGCTAAGCCAGAATCTGGATCCTATCCTTCTACCCCAAGAGCTGTCTTATACTTAAGGGAACTCTAGGTTCTTCTAGACTCTAAGTTCATTTTGGACTGTCTTGTTGGAACTGTGTGTGATAAGCAGTCTCTGCTTCTTGCATGTGATTTCCTCAGGGCCTGATGAATCATAGAAACAATGTAAACACAGTCAAAACACCCAAAAGGATCATGAACTGACTTTGAAAATCAAATGCAGAAACGCTGAAATGTGATCCTTTCTTGTTGTCCGCTTGGAGTTCTTAAGGTTTTAAAAGTAGAATGTCAGGGGGAAATGTGGCGAAACTTCTCCACTGGTTGGCTCCAAGGCACAGGACAGGCGAGAGACCCACCAGCTCTGCTCAGACGTATAGAACATTTGACCACATCAGCACCCAGTTACGTGCTCCTCTGGGGCCCTCTTGTGCACAGCTATGATGAATGTAAGACGGCAGCCACAACTAGAGTTGGCTTGTCTGCATAGGGGCTGTGCTGCACCAACTGTGGTCTTTACCCCTCTCCATGGAACAGCAGAATCTGTATCCTCAATGAAAATCAAGGCCTAGGGCCTCCGTGGTGGCACAAGGGGTTAAGAAGCAACCTATGAAGCTCTCCGCAACCACTGCAGCATGAGTTTGATCCCCGGCCGGCCAGAGAGCTACCCACATGGCACAGCAGACCTCTCCTGACTCGCCCGCTGCTCCCCTCAGCAGTGTATTTCAGTCAGTCTGCCTGTTCTGTTCCCCACTCTGTCTCTAGTGAATCCTCTCACCCCTCACACCCCTGGCCTATACCCCAGTTCTTGTATTAATAAATAAATCTTAAAAAAAAAAAAAAGAAAAAGAAAATCCAGGTCAGAGGAAGCAGGGACACCAGAGACTGTGTCAGGACATAACACAGATCCTGAAAGGGCAGTGGGCTTCCCTAGATCTCTTCCCCGGGAGCCCGAGTGAACAAGATGGGCTTGCTTCCTGCATCCCTGAGCACAATGAGATGATGGGAAGGAGAACACCTGTCAGGGCAGTCGGCCTTGAAGACCACCTCCAGTTGCTTACCGTTGTCTGCTGCCTTCGTGGCGGGGGTCTCTGCTGGCTGTGTGGAGCCTTCCCTCCTTCTCCTTCCCACCCCCAGATCTTGCTGTCATCACAGACAAATCTTAAACTCACCCTCCACCCGGTTTTCCCGGTTCTGTCCCAGTTTCCCCAAGTTGGTCAAAGGCAGCCCCACCCCTCCCAGGTAAGACCAGGCTGAGACGAGGCATTTGCCGTGACTCATCCTGCCCATCCAACCAGTCCCCGGGCCCCGAGAGTCTTCTGTGGCAACGACTTTATTAACTTGTCTTCTTTCAGCCACCACCCTCCTGGCCACCGACATCCCTAGGAAGACTCAGCTCAGCGTTATTCCTCCCTGTTCTCGTTGCCCTTCCAAGACGTGCCTGCCTGGGGACGCTACGGTCTCCGCCTGCCCGCTGCAAATGGTCTTGCCCTCCTCTTCTGCTCCTCCCTTCCACGGCACCTTATCTCCCGCTCCACCTGCTTCAGAAGCCTTGTTTCTTACCACCCTGGGTAATAATAGACATACCATGTGCCAAGCATTTTATGGTCATATCTTTAAACTTTATTTATATTTACCTGCGCAGCATGGGTGTTATTATCCCTTTGACAGATGGGGAAAACTGAGGCTCAGAGAGGTTACCCAGGTCATGCTGCCTATAAAGAACAGAACTGGGATTCAGTCCATGCCCTTCGTCCTGCGTAGCAACCTGCATTGTTCATTCCCGCCTCTGCAAGGAACTCACTCTGCTCCTGGGCACAACACCTGCGCTGCTCCTTGCGGCTTCTTCAAACCCCTCAACCCACAGCTCTCCTGAAGGTCCCAGCCCTTCTCTCTCAAATTCTCTCACAGGAGTCTCCGCCCTGTACAATCCAGAGCTTGATTACAGTCTGCCTTGTATTTTTCTCTCATTATTTCACATTTGCCTGTCTTGTTTCCAAGAAGCCTGGAAGTGTCTGAGTTGGGGAATGGGGTTTCCACTTACTCCTGTCTTCTAGAACTCCTAGATACAGAACCGGGTGCACAAATACTCTGTGGAGCTGACCTGATCCCCCCCCCCCCAGGAAAGTGGATTGGACTTCACCCTGTCACAGCCACCCGTCACCGCAGCAGCCTCATATCTCTGTGGGTAGGTACACACACACACACACACACACACGCACACACAAACACGTGCACATGCGCGTACACACTGTCACACATACATTTAGTCAAAAGATCTCTTCCCAGGATCCTCTCTGGTGGCTCAAGGGGTTAAGTCTCAGCACTATGAAGCTATCTGCAACCACTGTAGAATGAGTTTGAGCCCTAGCCAAGGAGCTAACCCAAATGGCACAGCAGACCTCTCCAGACTCGCCCGCTGCTCCCCTCAGCAGTGTATCTCAGTCTGCCTGTTCTGCTCCCCACACTGTCTCTGGTGAATCTTCTCATCCCCTCCAACCCTGCACCTCTGGCCTACAGCCCAGCTCTTGTATGCATAAATAAATAAATCTTAAAAAAAAATCTCTTCCCAAACAGAAGCAATTACATGCCTGGAACTACCCACCCAAGATGGAAAACTGCCTCCTCACTGAATACTGGGTGTTGTGGAATTCCAGCACGGCCCAGTGTGGCCACAGCATTGGTGGCCGCCCAGGGAGCTCAAGAATGGCTCTGATATCCAAACAGAGGATGGACATTGGGCGGGGACCTGCAGTCCCTGCTCCAATTCTGGTCCTGCCACTGTGTGGTCTTAGGGAGGGGAGAGATGTGATCTGGTCACTTGGCTAGTTTGGGACATCCTCAGGCAGTGTAACTCACAGGCTATGAGGAAGCCCCTCCTCTCCAGAGCCACGTTGCTGGGCTCCTGAAGAAGCATCACTAGTGACTCCTACAGCTAAACCCCACTTCTCACTCCCCACCCCTCCCCAGCCACGCTCCCACCTTCTGGGCCTCAAAGCCTCTCTCTGTCCTGAAGGGGTGTGACCATATTTGGCCTCCAAGCTAGAATTAAGTGTTGCCACTTCAAATCCATCATTTCAAAACAGGAAAAGGAGCATACAATAAATTTCAGATCTTTTTCTTCTAACACTTAAGGGAAGGTTTGGGGTTTGGTGAGAGGGTGCTGACTAAGGGCTAATGGTATCATGAAGGGTGGGAGGAGAAAAGATAGTGAGAGATAGCAGTGGTATCAGATGGGGCCCCTGAAACCAACTTCCCTTCCTTTACAGTTTTGCCCACAGCCAATCATAACATGTGAATAAACAAACAAGGGGGTAAGCAGAGGGGTGCTTATGTAAGAAAAACAAATAAAAATAATTGTGTAACACGTCACACATTCCCCACAGAGGCCAGAGAAGGAGTGTGGGGACAGACGTCACTGTGAGGGGCACTGGGGGCCTGAGTGTGTCCCTTCAAAAACCAGAGACATCTGGTCAGGCTTGGCCCTGCGGGGAGGGGACGCTGCCTGCTGGAGGGAGGCCAGCACTTAATTCCTTTGCTGCCACAGCGCATCAGGGAGGGAGGCGCCTTCTGATAACCATCGGTGGAGTTTTGCAACTCGAAGTGTGAAGCCTTCTCAGCCTGCTAAGGCCCAAGCAGAGCCCGCCTCTGTGGGCATGGCCCTGGGCGACTGCCAAGAATGCTCCAGATTGTGCCAGAGATGAATGTACCCACGCTGTGAAGCCAGGGGGCCGCTCCCAGGACCAGGGTGCTGCTCATACAACCGGGGTGTCTTCTGCGTCTCTCCCGGGTCTGCAGCCCTTGACCGAGTTTAACAGGCCCAGGTGGCGGCTGCCTGAGCCACCTGTGGGTGCGCCAGCCACCAGGGAGAGACGGCCACATTCCAGGCTCCAGGCTGGCAGGGAAGCTTGGCAGGGAGGCCTGAGCTCCGGCAGACAGCGCTGAGGGGCGGCTCCTCCCCACCACGGGAGGCCCGGGGCTGAGGACATGGAAGAACAGGTGTTCAAGGGAGACCCAGACACGCCGCATTCCATCTCCTTCTCTGGCAGCGGGTTCCTCTCCTTCTACCAGGCTGGGGCCGTGGACGCCCTGCGGGACCTGGCCCCCCGCATGCTGGACACGGCCCATCGCTTCGCAGGCACGTCTGCGGGGGCTGTGATTGCCGCGCTGGTCATCTGTGGCATTGAAATGGGTAAGGGCTTTTTGGGGGGTTCTCTGGGGGGCTTCTGGAGGGATTCTCCAAAACAGAGCTGGGTGACTGCCTAGAGATGCTCTGGGGACCAAAGCTAAGCTTTCTGGGTGGCAGGAAAGGAAGTGGTGGGTTGAGCGGGACAGTGAGCAGTGCGTGCAACATTTGAAGGTAAGGTCTGTGAGGGCCCAGGCTTCTCTGACCCACGGGGTGAGCTTGGACTCACCCCCCCACCCCCCTCCTTCCTCGAGTGACTTCTCTGTGGGAAGTCAGTCTTCCGGGGCCTGGCGAGGGAAGTCAGTATCTCCCACAAGCATCCTGGTGTCAGATGCTACACCAGGACACAGTCACACTTTGGGGTAAAGTGTTGCTCCTGTCTGGCCTCTTCAAATGCAAATACTCATGGGAAGGGCACCCCTTCATGTCTATATCACCTTCATGAAGATGAATTTGTGAGAGCAGCATCCAGAAGGCTGGAGAGGTGGGAGCCCTGGGAGTAGAGGGGGAGAAACTGGGAAGGAATGTGGATGATCACCTTTACCCTCTGTGCTGCTTGTTTGGGGTCCCCAAGAAGGATGGGCCCACACCACTGACACATGAGCAGAAGAACCAGCGCCTACAGACTCATTCTTAGCAGCCCCAGACCTAGTACTAGAAAGACCCTTTGTCCTTGGGGTGCATTTATTTTATCTTTGTCTTGATTATAATTTTTATTTTTTAATTATTTTATATCCTTGCTAGTGTATTGACAATATTATAATAATATATGTGACTTATATATACTTATATAATATGTATGTAATTTCTCTCCTCAAGTGTAGTCACCACAGCACTCCCACCACCAAAACACCCATAGTCCTCCACCAGAGCACATTGTGCTCTACCCCCTGGCCCTAACTCTCTGAAAGCCACAAATCCATCGCTAGCTTTCAAAGATTGGTTTTAAAGTTTGTCTTTGTCTGACTCTTTGTTTGGTTTCTCATATTCCACATGTAAGCGACGCCATCCTGTACTTACCTTTCCCTTCTGGCTTATTTAGCTTAGCATAATCCCTTCTGGCCCCATCCATGTTGCCCCAAATGGCATGAGTTTATCTATTTTTCATTGCTGAGTAGTGTTCCACTGTGTGTATATACTACATCTCGATCCGCTCATCTGCTTTGGGGTACTTAGGTTGTTTCCAGAGTTTGGCTATTGTAAATAGTGCTGTCATCAACATGGGAGTGCAGGTTTGCTTTTGAATTAGTGTTTTTGGATTTTTGGGGTAGGGGTGCATTTATTCAGTTACTGCACTATCGTTCTGTGTCAGGCTCTGTTCCAGGTACTGGGACAAAGTCCCTGCCCCCATGGAGTAGAAATTCTGTGGGGGTGGGGGGCGGGGAGGACAGTTAACATTCAAACAAATAACCTCCCCCTGTCAAGAAGTGATTGTCTTATGTAAAATCACAGCAGGAAATGTTCAGAGAATAAAGTGCGGTGTGTCTTAGAAAGGGTAGTCAGGGAAACAGACCAAGTGGAGTGAGTGAACACACCAGGTAGGGGGGAGTCAAGTTGCCTGGGGGGCTGGGGAGTGGTGGGAGAGAGAAAGGGGTGGGGATAAGGCTGGAGAGGCAGGCAGGGGCCAACTCACATGGACCCTTGTAGCCAGAGAGATGGGGAGCACAGGCACTAAATGAGGAAGGTGACATGGGGGAGGTGATGCCATGTGGGTTATATTCCAGTTCAGCTGTCTCATGGAGTGGGCCTGGGACAAGTTATCGACCTCTTTGTGCCCCAGTTTCCGCATTCATAAAGTGGAAATTCCACTTACACCTAATTCCCAGGGTTGTTAAAAGATTAACAGCTAATCAATTAGTGCCTGCTGTTCCACTCAACCCATTTCTTATTTTCCTACTATCCAGAAGGCCTAGCTTTGCTCCCCAAATCGTCTCAGGCAATCATCCATGGCTGATATGATAAATTGCTTATCACAGGGCCTGGTATGTGGCAAGCTCTCTTCACACTGTTTTTAAGGGACCCCTGTTGCTGGGTCACATGAGTTAGGGAGCACAGCAGAAACATAACAGTGGGAAAATACTGTATGTTTATGTGAGGAATGAGCGAGGCAGGTGGCTGGGCGGTGAGGTTGGTGAGAAGCGGTTAGATTCAATACATACTTTGAAGGTGGAGCCGAGGAGACTCACTGAAGAACCAGGTGCAGTGTGTGAGGATGTCAGCAAGCAGGGCACCTCCACTCGAGATCCCTGAACTGCGTGGGTAGTCTTTGTCTTTGTTTTAAAGAATAATAGCAATGCCCATTCTCTTACATGCAAGATCATTACATTCTTTTTAATATTTCACAAGCAACAAGTTTCTTCTCACTGTACAAAATTCAAACAATGGAAAGTCACACAAAATAAAAGTGTACAGAATTTAAAAAGAGCCTCCACCCAACCCCTTCCTGTAGCCAGTCTCAGGGATCCATGTGGATCTTTCCAGATGTTTTTTTATGTAGAGTCTGCTGTGACTGTTGTAGCTAATGTCACCCAGTGGACTCTGGGACAGGCCTATGGACCGGGGCTGGGATAAGGGTCCCACTCCTTCGTCCTGGAGTCACAGCACTGACCTGGGCAACACCTTGCCTCTGTGACACTCATCTGCTCCATTGCTTGCACCGTTCTCATGCCTTTATTCAGCTTCCTACAGTTCACTGTCTAAGAGTCATTCTCTGGCATTCAAGGACTTTCATAATTAATTCAGCTCAAGCAATTCAATAAATACTGGCCAAACCCTATTCGGCCAGGCTGTGATGGGTCCTAGAAAGACCCCTAACTGTGGGCATAACCAAGGACTGACTGTGTGCTGCTATAAGGAGAATAGAGCACAGGGAGCGTGAGACAGCAGCACGCTGATGAGATTCAGCCACATCGCTCCTGCCTACTTCGTTCCTTTTAACTGCTATGCAACTATTTATTAAAAGCATTTCCTTTATACCCAACCCTGTTCTGTCTCTGACACATTAACTTATTTAGTCTTCACTAACCCTCTGAGGTGAAAACTGTTATTTTCTCCATATTACAGAGGAGGAAACTGAGTCACAGAAGGCTTAAATAACTTGTCTAAGGTCATGCAAACAGTACTTGGTGAAGATGAGGTTTGAACCCAGTCCGGCAGCAGAGTTGACATTCTCACCCCTTCAACCCCTCTGCCTCCTGTCAAAGCAGTGCCAGGGGTGGGGATGCTGGCTGCATGGATAGTGGGATCAGGGAAATCTCTTTGGGCAGGTAGAATTTGCACACAGACCTAAAGGAGGTGAGGGAGGCTGCCGCAAGTGTATCTGGAACATTCCATGCAGAGGACAGCAACTTGCACTACATCCCGCCAGCTGTCAGAAGCAGGGGAACCAACACTCAGTCTCCTGGCTTTCTTCAAGATCCCCCAGCTTTCTTCAAGTTCTTTTCCCTCTGTCAGTGTATAGTCCATCAGACTCCATCACAGTTCACCCAGCCATTCCAGTGATGGACACAGCCAAGCTGTGGTTATAAGCAACCCCACAATCAGCATCCTGTCATGTCTCCCATGGTCACGTTGAGTGTTTCCCTAGGATCCTCCATTAGCTTGGAGAGACTCTATTATATTATTCTCAAGTCAATTCTACCAGCTGGACACCAGCAGTGTCTACGAGTTCTAACTTCCCCACAATGTCATCAGCCTTTTCGCTATCAGACTTCAAAGTTTTCAACAGTCTGTGGATGTGAAACTCTATCTCATTTCATTGTGTCTATCGAATCTGCCTTTCCCGATTGCTAGGGATGTGAAACTTCTCTCTGTATTTATTGACTGCTTGTGTTTCTTCTTCCATCACTGGCCTGTTCGTGACCTTGTTCCATTTTCTCTACCAAGCTGTCATTTTCTCTCTCACTTGTAGTTACAGTTTATACACCAAGCATTTGTCAGTTATAGAGATTGCAGCTGTCTTATTCCACTCCATGGCCTCTCTTTCTGTTTTATTGATGTCTTTTGTCATTTAGAAAATTCCAGCTTCCATGCAGTCAAATGGTTCAATGCGTTCCTCTTTACATTTTGTAGTTTTCAGTATCTTTGTCATAATGAGCTCCTCAATGTTTTCCAGTTTTGCTCTCTCAAATTTAGGTTAATACCTCTAGAATTTATTTTGTGGAGAGTTTGAAGTAGAAATCTAAGTTTTCATTAGTTTTGCCGTGTGAAAACCAATTTTCCCACTCCAATTAGGGGCAGTCCTTGCCACTTTTTTCTGAAATGTTGCTTCTGGCTTATTCAAGTTCCTAGATTTTCTCTTTTCTTCCATTGACTAATTTGTCTGTTTCCGTACCAGATCCTATGGTTTTAATCAAGAGAACCTTATCATAGGGGACATATAGCATATGCAGCAATCTTTCTCCTACTTCCCTTCCAATTTTTTCTTTAAATATTGCTTCTGCCACTTTTAACCCCTTCCTTTCCTCATGAGAAGCTCTATTGGGATTTTGCTTAAAATGACACCTTCCCATTTATAAATATAGTCTTCTCTATTTTTTCTGGTCCTCTTGTCCTTCAATAAAGACCTTGTGTATCTTTTATTAGATTTGCTAGTTTTTGTTGCTATGGGGATGAGATCTTTTGTCCTATGGCATTTTTTTTTCTTTTCTTTTTTTTTTATATAGGAACTGGGATACAGGCCAGATGTGCAGGAGGGTGAGAGGATTCACCAGAGACAGAGCAGGGAACAGAACAGGCAGAGGGACCAAAGTACACTGCTGAGGGGAGCAGCGGGGGAAGAGAGGAGAGGACTGTCCCGCCATGTGGGAATCTCCCTGGGGTGCAGGGAATTGAACCGGAGCTGCAGAGGCTGTGGACAGCTTTGTAGCGCTGGGCTCAACCCACTGTGCCACTGGGGAGGCCCCCCCCATTGCATTTTCTAAGTGATTTTTGCTGCTGTAAACTATTGTTGATGGTTTTGCACAGTGAGACTGTTTTGAGCAAACTTGTTAAACCTTGAAAATTCG